GAGATCCAGTTCCACCACAATTTCAACCCTGCCCTCTCCTTTGGGGAACAGCTCCTACTAATTCTTTGCCACCTTTCTTACGTTTAGAGTGCTAGAGTTCTCAGAACACAATGGCATCCCTCCGAGGCTACAAACTGCAGCTGGCAGTGTGCCATGCCTTCGTCCTCCCAAGGCTGGGATGGAGCACTGTCTGTAGAAATACATAATCTATGATTTTTCAAAGCAGCCCTGAACCCAAGTTTGGGGATTCTAAGCCAAAAGCTTCACTGCTTCCTAGGCTCCATCTGAAGGATCCAACACAATGCCCCCCAAAATAAAGTCTCCCTGAGCTTCCAATTCATCCTGCTGCTGTGTCCTGTGCTTCCGCCTGCAAGGCCAATCAACCTTCATCTCCAGGTAGAGAAAAAGAAATAAGGAAGAGGCAAATAGAATGGTCATTCAGGATGGAACTAAGTAAGGTAGGACCAGTAAGGCAGATGGAAAAAAGGCACTGAATTGAAAAATCAAGTAGAAGGAATAGGAAAGGAGTCATGAGGTCATAAGATTTTGAGGTAGAACCAAGGACAGGCCAACCTTTCCCCTTTGTCTTTCAACAGGTGGATCTGAAAGAGCAAGGGCAGCTACTACACCGAGATCCTTTCACTGTCTTCTGCGGGAGGAGGAAATGCCTGCGTCATGTCTTCCTCTTTGAACATCTCCTCCTCTTCAGCAAACTCAAGAGCCCAGAGGGTGGACCTGAGGTTTTTGTTTACAAGCAGGCCTTTAAGGTACAACCCTTTAAGGTGGCATCCCTCCTTCCTTGGATATTCAGAGTACTCTGAACAGGCTTTAGCCTGGAGTCAACCAGTGGATCAAAATCTCAATTTCTCACCATGAACCAAGCTCGGGAGATTTCCTTTTCTGTAGTGCAGTAGCCACAACCAGACAATCCCAGGATAAAATGGGAATGGTAGCATGTGATCTAGAACTTTGGGATCAAACTCAAATAAAAAGATATCTCTGCAAGCCATATATTGATTTAGAAAACCACAAATTAACATTACCTATGTTGTATTGTATTTTTATTTATTTTCTTAAACATTTCCCAATTACATTTTAATCTGGTTTGGCTGCACTCATGAGTTTCGCCAGTGGTGAGTTTGACACCTCTGATCTAGAATACACAGGCATTGCAAATAATACTTCTGGATCAGAATGAATAACCAAAGAGAATGACCCAAAAGACTTGCCCATTTGAAGATACCTTGGTACCAGGTGCCACAGGATTCCTATTTTCCACAGCCAATAGTTTTGCTCCAAGACCTGGATCAGTAGATCTAGAATCATTTTCTATGACTCCAGTATTTATTCTTAGGCTATATTCTGGATCTTGGGGATCTAATTGGGATGAGATGCACCACCTGCTCATTTATTCACTCTCTACCCTTCTCCCTTTTTAACCCCCCCCCAGACTGCTGACATGGGGCTGACAGAGAACATTGGGGACAGCGGACTCTGCTTTGAGCTGTGGTTCCGAAGACGGCGTTCCCGGGAAGCATACACACTTCAGGCCACCTCATCTGAGGTTAAACACAAGTGGACAAGCTCCATTGCCCAGCTGCTTTGGAGACAGGCAGCTCACAACAAGGGTACAGGAAGACAACTTGGGAGTTTGAGCAGACTGAAGGAGGGCTGGTGATGGAGAAGGAACAAAAGGGTGGACAACAAGATAGCATTCGAGCAGGAGCAGAGGTGGGAAGGAAGAGGGGGAAGTGACAGTGTTTCTGTTTCCCCAGAGCTTCGAGTACAACAAATGGTATCCATGGGCATTGGAAACAAACCCTTTTTGGACATCAAGGCCCTTGGGGAGAGGACCCTGAGTGCCCTGCTCACAGGGAGAGGTGAGGGTTATGGTGTGGAAAATTTTCCCCAAGAGGTGCTCAGAACCTTAAAGATGAGGGCACAGTTCGAGAATGGGGGTTGGTGGGTAAGTAAAGAGGAGTGGCAAACTCTTTCTAGGAATTGTGGGACTAAGGGACATTCCATGGGACCAAGAAACATTATGGGGAGGTAGAAGAGCTTTCCCATGACAACATCCACCCCTCCCTCCCACACACCCCACTTTCTACAGCTGCCCGAACCCGGGCCTCCGTGGCTGTCTCTTCTTTTGAGCATGTCGGCCCCTCCCTACCCTGTCTCTCCCCGGGAGCCTGCTCCCTGCCCGCCCGCGTCGAGGAAGAGGCCTGGGACCTGGACATCAAGCAGATCTCCCTGGGTGAGGCACCATGAGTGGCAGTGGCCCTGCACCCTGGTGATGCCCCTAACTGGATGCTCCTAACAGCTAGCTCACCATGGCAATGCTTAGGATTACCAGTAACTGGGAAATTTTTCCTGCCTTAGCCAAGCAGCCTTGTTGCCATAATTTTGTACACCTTTCCAATACTGAAGCACCTTCTACCCCATTGCTAGGGTGATGCTTCCAGCAGACTGTTTTTAAGGAGCGTTTCCTCTGTGCCCCTCTCTCTAGCTCTCCCTTGGTCGCTATGGAAACTGCCTCAGCTTCCTGTTGTGCCCTCCTGGTTCACCATGGCAATACTTACAGCTTCCTGTTGCTTCTTCCCTGGTTGTTCTAATGATGCTGCTGACAATTTCCTGCCTCTTACTTGGGGGGGTTCCCCTGCAACTGGGTTGCTATGGTGACTCACAGCTTCCTGTTGCTAGGGAGTTTTTCCTCTATGCTCCTGCAGCCTGGTTGCTTAAGGTAATCTGGAGGGGTTCTATACACTGCTCTCATGCCAGCTTCCCCTCCAGCACCTGAATCACCTGACTCTTCTGGAGAAGTGTCCCCAGGAACAAGGAGCAGCCCCAGCCTACAGCCCCCCAACCTTGGGAGCAACACCCCTATCCTGCCTAGTGGAGGGATCTTGGGGTATGCCCGTCCGGTAAGTTCCTGTAATGGGGCCAGGTCTGGGAAAGATCTCTTTTGACTATTTTATATGTGACTTCTCCCACTCCTAGCGTTCATTAATTAGGAATGCTGTCCTTCCAATTTAAGCCAGGGATCAAAATATCCCTAGGGTAGGAGAGAGCATTTAATAAGCAGTGGAATATTAGGGTGGAAGAAAAGAGGGGATGACAAATAGGCTAGGGCTTAAACTAAACTGAAAAAAATCCAGAAATATTAGGGAGACAGCTTTGGTGTAGTATATATAATAAGTACCAGACTTGTAGTTAGAAGACCTATGCTGAAGTCCAGACTAGCTCTCAGCAGTGGTGTGGATTGCCATTTACTAGCTTTTTAACCTTGGGCAACACTTAATCCTCCCTAAGCATCAGTTTCCTCACTTATAAAATGGGGGATGGTAACATCTAACTACTTCATAGAGATATTGTGGATCAATTGAGATCATATATAGGAAGGGTTCTATAGCTATAAAGAACTACTATCTTAAATGTCAGCTAATATTATTGTTATTAAAGAGGTACAGGGTTGATGGGGGAACAAGTAAAAAGAGGTAGTTATTATCTTTCTAGTTCACTGTAGTTTCTCTTTCCTCAGAGCCATACTCGAGCCCCAAGTGACCCTACCACCCCTCTGTGACCCTGAAGTACTGGGGTGAGTCACAGTATCCTTTCTTTCCCACTCAACGTTTCCCTCCACTTAGATGTTCCCAACTCCCTCCCCCCAGCTCCCAGGAGTCAATTCTTCCTCTACTCAACTCCTTTCACTCTTCTCTGTTACAGAGTAGGTCCAGAACTCAACAGGAACACCACCTTTGAAGCACATGATGGGTTGGGGTAGAGGCATAACATAGGCATGAGAGAATGTCATGCTTCTTCCTTTCATTTTCTGGGAAAGAGGGGTTGAGGGACCAGTGCATTATTATACTGCCTCCCCACACCCTGCTCTCCCTAGCTTGGTGCCTTTGCCTGCAGGACCTAAGGTGACCGCATCTGCTCACCACTGAAACCCTGCAATGGGAGAAATTCTCCCTCTTCCCTTTCTTCCCCAATCCTAACCCATCATCCCCTAGGAAATACATCACTGCACATGCTCAGTACTCCTCTCCCCACAACTTTCATTTCTCTTCCACCCCTTACTCCTCCCTAAAGGAACTCATCTCTGCCGAGCAGACTGGAGTATTCTGGGAACTGGACCATCACAGATGGAACTATGCAAATTGTTGTGGGAGGGAGGGGTTGGGAAACATGAAGATGTCTTCTATGTAATTACTATTATAATTACTATTGCCATATTAAATGTATTTACTGGAGTCATCTCCTGGAAACAGGAGGCCTAAATTCTTAGTCCCTTGGAGTGACTGAGACAACAATTTAATTTGGACACTTCCCCAGAACTAGTTTCATGGCGAGAATGGATAAAAAACTGAATTTTAAGTTAAAAGGCCTCTTATGTGACCTTGGACTTCATTCTTCTGATCTGGAATAGTAAGGGTTTGAACTACAGGACCTCTATAGTCTAAATCCATGACCAAAGCTTTGTTCCTATGACTAACTGCATGTCTAAATGAGGCTAACTTAATTTAGGGAGGCTCATTACAAGAAGATGGACTACCGGGTAATGTTTTTTTGGGGGAGGGTCAGGTCACTGCAATTCATGAAGTACCTACTTACTAAAGCACGAAAATGATTACAGTCTCCCTTTGAAGGTACTACCCACAAGGAAAAAAAATCACAACTCTTTTGAATTATTTAAGTAAGCCAGGTGCCATCCATACTCCACCACAAGTCTAAAGCTGTTGGTGCAAGAAACCTGATTCTGCAGGTGCCTTCCATTCTGCCTCCCCTCTGAAACTTATTATAGACTGGCAGTGAGGCTACCAAGGGTGAGATGCTACAGCCTGTGTCCCCTTCTACCCACCCACCTCTGTTGGGAGTCCTGGCTGCTTCCAGGGAGCTCTGGGTCCAATGGACAGCATCTGAGGAAACTGGCTGCCTTATGGTGTTGACTGACAAAGAACAGCAGGACATAGGCCGACAGAAGGACACAGTGCCCAGTGCCTTAAGACACCTGTTTATTGGGGTAAACCGGGTCTGTGGGGATCGTACCAAAAATAGCGACGTCTACAGGACCCCTGCTAGGGACAGGAGGAGGGTGGGACGGTCCCCCTCGTACAAAAATAAACTCTCACAGCTATGGACCAGCAAGGACTGGTGGGGTGGCCCCCTCTACCGGACTCCCTTTCCCGCCCTAGGACTCTGCTCTCTGACCCCACCTCCGCCACTCTAAGGCACTGTGACTCTCCCCAGGACAGGGTGGACACCGCCCTCCAACCCACACATCCCAGGCTGACTTCTCCCGGCTCTGCCCAGATCTGCCTGAGGACTGGATGTGGGCTCCGAGCTGCCCCCTGCTGGCTGCCCTACCCAACTACCTCTAGTGATTTCCCGCTCCCTCAAGGCGAGCGCTCTCTCTATGCTACCTGCCCCTAAATGGGCTCCCTACCGTTCCTGCCCTCCCACCCCAGCCCTTGCCGCCTCTCCCGGTCGGGACAACCCAGGGCTCCCATCCCTATCCTGCGGAGGGCTGGGGGTCAACTCCCCTGACAGGACGCAAGCGGAGGAGGGAGGGGAGGGAGCGGACTGGGGTGGCCTGCGACCCCGAGCCCGACGGCTGTGATGCACTTGCAGATGCAAAGCCATGAGCTCGGGAGCTCCGGTGGCAAAAGGGCAGAAGAGGCAGCGGTGCAGGGAGCCCCCGGCTCCGGCCTCACCTCCGGTCCCCGCCCGCAGGGACAGGTCCAGAGGCTCGGCTTCGCCACCTCGCCCATTGCGCAGGGTCCTCCCAGGGCTCACAGGTTTACGACGGGAGGGGGCAATAGCGCTGGAAGGGAGGCGGGAGCCCATGGCACCCTCGGCCCAGGTTGGGGGCGCAGGATTGGGTTTGGCCCCTTGGGATGGAGCTGAGCCCCGTTGAGGTGGGGGCGGAGGCTCCGGGGGCGGCCCCGGTCCCGCTCCACTCCTTTGCTCTCGATGGTGACGCTGCAGGTGATATTTGAGGGAGCCAGACTGGGTACCAGCGTAATCACAGTGGGGACACTTGTAGGGGCGCTCACCTGCAGAGAGCAGAGAACTCAGTTGGGGAGAAGGGCAGTGCCTACTGGAGTCCCTTACCCCTTCCCTAACTCCCTCTTTCATAAATTTGCAGGCCAGAAAATGACACCCTCCTCTGAGTTCTAAGGCTTAAAAATTCAGGACTGCCCCCAAACCAGTGACCCCCACCCATTCACAGGTCCCTCCAGACCTGTGAACCCCTCATAAAATGTCCGCCACACACCTCCCCAGTTCTGAGCAAGAGAGGCCCCTCATCCTCCCAAACCCATGTGCTTTCCTCTTCTCAAAAACCTGTATCATTTCCAACCCCTTGCAGCCCTCTTGAGACACCTCCCCACCATCTCACCTGTATGCACCCGCAGATGCACTTTGAGGTGGTGTGCAGAACGGAAGGATTTCCCACAGAAGGGGCAGTCCTTGCCCGAGGCTCCCCGGCCCCCTTCAGGCCGTGTTCCCCCTACTAACAGCCCGTTCTCTTCTGCAACACATGTTAAAGACTTGAGTTAAGAGGCTAAGATCCTAGCTGTGTCCTCCCTACTCTCCCTCCAAACTGCAAACTTGGGCTCTACAAGACCAGAGTGGAAAAGGAGCGAGTGGTAGAGAATGTGGGCAAGCAGTGGGGAATCAATGCTGTCCATGTGGTAGGAAAATAAATGGGCATGTGGGAAATAGAGGAAGGGACAAATGAAGGATGAAGAACCGCGGTCGCCGAAAGCTGCGGCTAAGAGGAGGTGTTGTTACACAGGCTCCTTGTTGCATATACATACCCTGGGAGGCTGCAGGCCGGGGCTGGCCCCCTGCAGTAGGGGCCGGATGACCCGCGCCCTCCCCTGGCCGTCTATGAAGTGAAGCCAGAGCTCCGAGGGCCCTGCTCCGAGTCCAGCTGTCCTCCTCTGCTTCCACCACCACCTCCTCCTCTTCTTCATCTTGCTCTTCCAGGCGGGGACGACGCTCCCGAACCGGGAGCGGGCGGAACCCCCCGAAGCCTCGGCCAGCCCCGGGCTCAGTGCCCTCCCCGTTGGGCCTGGCTTTCCCAGCTCTCAAGCTCAAGTAGCCCAGCAGGCCCGGGGGCTCGCCTCGATCCCCCCTGTGGCGGCCCAGGGGCCAACAGTAGCGCGGGGCCCAGGGGCTCGTAAGCCAGCAAGCCCAGGTCAGGAGGAGGAGGGGCCCGAGGGGGGCCCGAGCCTGGCCCGGGCGCACGCAGGGCCCCCAGCTTGCTGGCGTGCACCTTCATGTGGTTTTTGAGGAACCAGGGCTCCTTGAAGCAGCGGCCGCAGACGGGGCAGGCGTGGTCGAAGGAGGCCTTATGCTTGCGCATGTGGCCTTTGAGGAACCAGGACTGAGTGAAACTCTGGCCGCAGACTTGACAACGGAACTCTGGGGGTGCTGGAGGCTCCTCGGGGGCGGTGGCTGGAGCTGGGATAGGCTCCGGCTCCGGCTCAGGTTCGAGCTCCGGGGCCGACTCGGATTCTGGCTGGGGTAGGGGCAGGGGCAGGGGCAGGGGCAGGGGCAGGGGCTGAGTGCCAGCCGAGGTGGCCGCCAGGGGGCGCTCGGGAGCTCCATGAGCTGTCAGGCTGTGGCGCAGCAGCTCCTCCTCCTGGCTGGACCCGAAGCTGCACAGGTTGCATTTCCAAGGCCGGTGGAGGATGTGCAGGTGGCGTTCACGCTCCGCGGCCGTGCGGAACTTGCCTTTGCAGAAGGGACAACGGAAGGCAGGTAGAGCTGGGGCCGGGGCCGGGGCCGGAGCCGGAGAGGGGGGTGCTCTGTGGAGGGCGTAGATTGCAGGAGCGCCCCAGGCGCACTGCCCAGCCGGGCCTCCCGCAACAGGGCGCGCTCTTCTAGCTCCAACAGCAAGCGCGCGGCGGGGCTGCGCGGGCGCTCCGGCTGGTGGGTGCGCAAATGCAAGCGCAGCAAGGCCCTTTGAGCCGTGCGGTGGCCGCAGTGCGGGCACTGGAAGGGCTGGGCGCCCGGGTGGGCCCGCAGATGCAGCGCCAGTATCGAATTGAAGCGAAAGCGCTTCCCGCATACTGGGCACGGGAAGCGCCGCCCGCTCCCTCGGCTCTCAGGCCAGCCAGCTGCTCCCATTCCCGCCGGCCCCCCGCTTACGCCCGGCCCGTTGGAGTAACGCTGCAGGTCCAGCTCGCCGTCAAAGGCTGGCAGGGCAAGGGGGCCGCCCGGGGAGCGAGGACGTGAGCCCTGCCAAGACAGGAGCGGAGGAGTCGGGTCAAGAGAGGATACAAGGAAGAGGGAAGTGGGGAACCGGAAGATAAGAACTATGGGGGCGGGAAAAGGGAGGATCAAGGGACAGCAGAGCCCCAAGGGGAGAAGAGGGTGGTAGGAAATTAGAGAAGCAAAGTAACATACCTTCTCCACCCAAACCAACCAACCACCGTCTCCACACACACCCCCAACCCCACAACTCTGCTTCCTGTCTCAGGCAAGCAATGGGGGCAAAGGATGGTGGAATGCTCTGGGAGGGGGCAACAGCATCACTCACCTCCATGAACTCACTTCACATTCTTTGGTGCCAGGGATTGTAGGGAGGAGGGAAAGCCTCTGGTGGAAGCGTCTGGGGTAAGGGGGCTAGAGAGAGAAAGCCAGATTCCCAATGTGAGATCATAGGTTTCCAGGTGGAAGAGATGAACCTTGATCACCCACAATGATCTCCCACTCCAAAACTCAATATAGATGTCCTTTGTTTTCTCCTAAACTGTGGGGGCAGAGAGGGGAGGAAAGGGGAAAGAAGGGGGGCCGAAGAGATTTTCTTTAATTCCTCAGAAACTGAAACCCTTGATTCCCCAGCCCCATCAAGCAATAAGTGAGAATTTCCAAACTCAGGACCCTTCCCTTGCTGACTTTTGCCAGTTATCCTGGAGTCTGTCCCATGAACCAATTCTTCTATTATGGATGGGGAGGGAGTGGATCTCATGATTCCCCTAAAGCTTCCAAGTTGGGCCAGGCATTTCCCTCTCTCAGTCAAGTGAAATTACCTAGCTTCCTGGCTATCCATTCCCTCACTTTAGCCATTGCCTATCATGCTGGCCAAGTCTACCCTTCCTTTTGCCTGAACCCTGTCTTTCTGCCTTTCCCCCTCATTCCCCCTCCCTCTGCCTGGATTCCTGCTCCATTCATTTCCATTCATTACAGAGACTCATTCATGCATGGGAGAGAAACACCTCCCAGCAGCAGTAGCAGCAACTCTGGAGACAGACAGAGGGGGAGGGGCATGAGGGGGGAAAGACAGAAACAGAGAAGGGATGGGAAAACAGTTGGGGAAGAATGAGAGCAAAGGGGTTCTTCTGGCCTGGGAAAAGGAATCAAAAGTGGGAAATCCTGATTGATAAAAACTGTTCCCTTGCTTTTAGCACCCTGGAGACTGAGACCTGATGGTACTTCACAGCCCCTTTGTCCAGAGCTGCTCCAAGCCAGGCTTTCCTTATCTCTGCAGGGGAGAGGTTCCCCCACACAAGAGGAGGATTACACTGGCTCTGAGCTACACAGCCTGGAGTGTGGGGCACAGAGGCGGGGCTAGAGCCATCTGCACAGACAAGAGGCCCAGCACATGGTCTGGAAAGGAAAGGGTTAAAGTTTTCCAGGATAAGACTTCAAGGCCTGGTCATCCTGGCTGCAGTGTTCAGGGAAGGTCTTTGCACAGAAAGGAAAAGTCGAAGGCACTCTAGCCTACAAAGGAGGTCAGCGTTGGGGATCAGAGATTGAATACAGAATCTCCAAGCTGATGGGGAACCTAAAGATCACCTAGTCCAATCTCCTTATTTTAAAAATAGGGAAACTGAGTCTCAGAGAGGTGAAGAGATTTGTCTAAGGTCACAAAATTAATCTTTACAGCCCAGGTTTATATTCCTAGGCCAAATCTCTCTCTGCTATATCATGCTGACTGACCACACCAAAATACAGAATTACCCAAACAGGTAGAAGAGATAACCTAAGATTACCCGTTGTCTTCCTGCCTTCACACAGAACTATACTTAACCTAGGACACATTATTAAAAAAATCTTCCTTATAGTGAGGGTTGTGGATCTGAAATGTGTTACTAATGAAGATTAATCCATGTTCTTCCCTTTGACTTTTAATAACAGGAAAGACTATCTGAACCAGGGGAAGATCATTCTTGTGTTGAGGTGGAGATATAATGACCTCTGGAGGACCCTGAATGTCCAAAAATTCTATATGGAATGTGCTAAGCCTCCATCTGTTATCTGGGATCTATGACCCTTTAGGCTGAGAGAGCTTTATTATTAGTGTAATGTGGGACAAAGGAGTCCCCTGTGTGTGGGTCACTGAGCCCACAGACAAATGTGTCTCACTCCTAACACTAACATCTCTTCCCTCACCCAATTCTGGAACCACTGGGGGTGGAGGGACATGTTTTCTTGGGACCAAGAACCTGAAAGAACCTAAAGAGAGTTATGTTTAGTATCTTTTGGGTTTGGGAGAACAAGCAGAATAAGTGATTGCAAGATTCAGTACCATGGAGAGTACAATGGACTACCAGAGGGGTACCTTTGGCCACCTCAGCACCACTGAAAAGAAAATGGTATACATCAGAGTGGCCATGTTTGTCCTCTCAACACCAAGAGAGGGCACTGGGACCCAGAAAGAGGACAATTTCTCATCTATATACCAAAGAAAAAGTGAGACAGTAGAGGGGCTCTTTTGTACTTCTAAATGTCACTGAAAATTTTTTTAAATGTCATGGAAATAAATGGAACTGGATTAATTTACTAGATATGAGGAGTAATGTCCTGTCAATTACAGTTTGTACATCCTGGAATCAGTAACTGAAGAATCTGTTTCTTAAAGCTGTCATATTCTGGAGCTCCTTGGGGATTCCAGAACATCCTGGTATACAACCAATCTTGTATATTCAGAGAAACCAGATGGTTAGGGTTGGTGATCCTCAATGTCCAGAACCTATTAACTACTAAACGTTTTATGGATTTCCTTCCCATGCCTCCTAGGCCCTGAAAAGGTTCTAAAGTTCTTGTCAAGGTCCAGGAAAAGCAGAACTACAGCTCAACAGGCCTGGAAGAAATTCACTTTTAAGAAGCAGAAAGTATCACAGAAGGTAGTCTTCAAGGTGGTGGGGGGAATATAATCTCCAAGTATAATAATATTTCAAAAGCCCTTAGACATGTGAACGGGCCCTAAATAAACACCTAAATGATCTAAAATTAGAATTCACTAAGGATTTTCCTAAGTAGATCATATTCTCCTAGAAAATAATGACCTGGAATGAACCTCAGAAGCCAACTTAGTTCCACTTTGATACCATGAGTTATCACTATACTCTGGTCCTCTGGATTTATCCCAATCTAAAACTATATTAGAGGAGTCCTAGATTCTATGAAATAGAGCCTGAAGCCCCACAGAAGGCTCATGGATGTATCCCATAGGTATAACAAAGTAGTGTATTTCCCATAAAGTCTGGACTAATTCAAGGCTTAAAGGTCATGACTGATACAATGCTGATCTAGAAAAGCAACTTTCCATTCCCACTCCCCACCCCTTTCCCCATATACACATATACTTTTTCTGTCCCTGACAACCCATAAATGTTTTTTTCCACTCATAACTCTAAAGAGGTCATATGACTTAAGAGAGGAATCAATAAATTTAAATTGTGTGCCATACTAGTGGCCCCCAAGTCTAGTATAGTGAGAGAATTGGAGATTTAGAAGGACAGAGACCTCCAACTATAGGTGGGTAGAGAGGGGCAGATATAGCAGGTAGACAGAGGCAATGACCAACTGGAATGCCTCTCAAGATTGGCTCTCATAGCATAGTGTATTTGGGCTACAGATTGCTAACCAGTGACCTAGGATCAAAGTGCACTCTAAGTGAATACTTTTAGGGTCTAGTAACATATATACTTCAAACTCTTCATGTTATAAACTTGAACTCTCTGTAGAGAGTGCAGACCCCAAATCTGCCTGGGAGGCATTGCTGAGGCAATGTTTGGGCAGTTTAACTGCCCACAATAGGGCTTATAAGGAAGGAGGGGTGGAGGAAGTATCTCAGTCCAGGGCATTACTGACTACCCCAATCCACCAAAAGCTCAGATACCATGGGTCCTCCTCAAGACCATCGAAACAAGCATGGCTAAAGAAACCCAATGAAGCAAGGTTTTGGCACCCTTCATGATAGGGGTACTCAGCTTCAGTATCTCTAAGCATAGAGTAAAGCTACTCTTTCCAGATTCACTGCTCTGGGGTGGGTCCTCTTTCTGGGACCTAAACAGTACTGGAGGGAGTAAGGTATACTTACTTGCCCAACCAATTTCAGGCTACAATCAGTGAAACTGTCCCAGAGTCTTGGCCTTCACCCAAACCCCAACCTGACCCTCTTCTAAGGTGGTTTCACAATGCCTCCTGATTGAGCAGGGAATGAGACTAGTGAAACCCCCAAGTTCCTACAGCCAAAGCTGACTATATCCAGGTTGGAGTCCCTTCACTAGATGGGAGCCCCCTGCCCCTGGATGGGAGTCTGAACAGCCTTTGGGGGTGAAGAACCCCTTGCTGTCCTGCCAGTACTTGGACTGGCAAATTAGTCTGGACTCACATAGTGTTCTCCCCACCCCACCCCAAACAGATACGGATGAGAAGAGGTGGGCAAAATGATTGGGAACAGAGTCCTGGAGGAAGCAGCTAGGGGCTCGACTACCCCATCTCAGGAGAACAAAAGCGGAGCTTCAGCCGCTGCCTCGGCTGCCGGCGGGCCGAGCTCTTTGTGACACTTTGTTTGGGACTCAGAGAGAAACAGTCCTTCCCCACCCCCATCTCTTCCCTCCCACCCCCACACCCTGGAGCGGAGAGGTCGGATCCTCACCCCCTCCCTAACCCCAGGCCCTACCTACCTGCGCCCCGGATCGCCCACCAACCCCCGGCTCCCCAACCTCGCCAGCCCCGCGCCCCCGGCTCTTCTCCACTCCTCTTCCCTCCCCGCCCCTCCGGGCCCCTACAAAGACGCTCGCTCCCCCTCGCCTGGCCCTTCCTCCTGGGTCCCCGCTCCCCGCGCCGCCCGGACCTGGACCCCACCTCTCTCTGGGCCCCCAGCTTCCCGGGCCTCCCCGGCCAGCCCCCGCTCTGGGAGCTCTGGGCGAAGTTTGCTCGGGGCCGAGCCGGCGCCCCTCCCCCGCCCCCGCCCCCTGCACCTGCTCCGAGCTGGGCGCGGGGAGCGCCCCCCCCCGGGGCTGGGGGGTAAGGAGGGGGCCTGGGGCGGGAGCCGGGATGGCGGATGGGGGGGGGGAGTGAGAACGGGAAGGGGGGAGAGGCTACTCACGAGCCCGGGGCGGCGGCAGAGCGGGCGGGCGGGCGGCGGGCCGGCGGCGCGGGCGTCAGCGTTACGTGGGGCCGGGGGAGATGCGCTGGGCCCCGGCCCCCCGCCCCCGGCCGGGCCCGGCCCCCGCCCCCTCCCCCTCCTTCGGTCCCCCCGCCCCCGCCCCTGGCCCGCATTGTGTGGGGCAGGAGGCGGCCCCGGCCATTAGCATGCGGGGGGCGGCGCGGCCGAGCTGGGAGCGGAGCGGGAATAAGAGCGGGGTCCCAGGGACTGGGGAGACAGGGCTAGGCACCTCGGTGCTGGGCAAAGAGAGCCAGAAGCAAACGAGATGGAGTGAGGTTGGAAGATGGGGGCGCCTTTCTGGGGACAGACCAGGTGATAAGGCTCAGAGGATGAGGTTTTTTTAAAAGGTCATCAGCCGCTTCCCCCCACACACACACACCCCGTCCCTTCCCCTCCCCCCCGCCCTATATCTCGGCATGACTGCCCCTTACCAGGCATTTAGTTTCTCATCATTTATCTGCATAGTGTATAAGTGTGTGTGTGCGCGCGCGCGTGTCTAATCTAGTCCCTCTTGAACTACGTTTTAGTTGTTGTATTTTGTACCCGTCACCCACCTCCAACCTACACCTTAGTATCATCTTCAAAGTTAAAAAATATAATAGCTAGTTTATGGTTATATTTATAAAGCTATTATTAAATGCTGTAATAATGGCAGTTGTCCCAGCATTGGCCCTAATGTGATTCCCCCTTTATACCACAATCCTAGGCCATCAAACACAGCCATCAAACCTTACATACGACCCTGCAGGCAATTGTGCATCCTTTCTCCACCTCCCTCCCACCCCCCAACATCCCTATACATAGCCCCACAAGCAGGTGCCTGCTCCCAATCATAATCTTTCCAGCATGTTGGACTACAAGGGAAACATCACACTGAACTACAGAAAGCAAAGGAGAGCCTGAGAATAAGATGTGGTGTAAGGAGGTGGTTGTCCCAATACTAAGGAGTGGGAGAACGAGGAAAAAAGAAAGAAGGTAAGAGGAGGAGAGAGGAGAAGAGAAAGGACCTGATGGAAAGAACTCATGAGAAAGGACAAATATAGGCCATAATACGGATACTGCCTTTGGCCTCTGTTTTCACAGCTTGGAAAGGGTAAGATTCAACAGATGAAAACAGAAGCTATGAGAATAAGAACTAGAAGTAAAGCACTGGAGATAAACAAAGAAAGGTTATATTGAGGCGAGATGGTAAAGGAGAGAAAAGACAATAGAAGCAGCAGGTTGTTGTGGAAATAAATAGTATCAGACTGGAAGCCAGGAGTTCTAGGTTCTAGTTTTTCCTCTGTTATTTCCTTTCTATGTGGCCTTGGGAAAGTGAATTAACTTTTCTGCCCCTCAGATTTTTTTCTCTGCAGAATTAGAAGGGTTGGGTAGGCAGTGGAATTAGATGATCTTTAAGGTCTATTCTAGCTCTAACATTTTATTGTAATAGGATTTTGGAGCTGGGAGGAGCCTGGGATTCTTTCTAGTCAAATCCTCTCATTTTGCAGATGAGCAAGCTGGTAGCTTGAAAGGTCAAGGAATTTTATTCAGGGTCATACAGGTCATAAATGGTAGAGTGATAATCTGAACCAATATCTTCTTGACTCCAAATCTCGTACTCATTCCATTCCACTATGCAGAGAGATGAGGTTACCAAATGAAGAATCATTTCCTCTCATTTCAGCTCAGACTATTAAGTACTAGAAAAGGCAGGAACAGTGAGTGCCCAAATACAAAATCTGGGTTTCAGCAGACTGGCCTGGAACCAATATGGGACACCTACTAAAGTCATGTTCCTGAAAATCTGGAGTGTGAAGAAAACTACTTCCTTTCCCACTTATTTCAGTGAAGTAGATAGAAAGCCAGGAAATAGTGGGAAAGAAGGAAAGAACAAGTATATTAGTTGTGAGATGGAATTCTAGTCTGGTTCATGGAGAGGGGATTTGGTGGAGATAAGTGGTCATACATCTGGAGGTCTAGGAAAATGGGGACTGAGGAAATGGAGATGAAAAGAGACTGTGATTAGGGAAGTAAATATATAGAAAATAAAAATGGAAGCATATTGGACCTCCAGTGCCAGGGAAGTCTGTTGGAATGCTGGTGACTTCTGATCCCTGGTTATCTCCCTTCAACCCACCAAGTCACAAGGACTTTTGCCCTGGCCCCACCCTACCCTTGATGACACTCTCTTGAAGGGACAAGACTGTCCTTCAAGCTTTTCATTCCCTGGGGTCTACATTACCAGGAGAGCCAGCTGTTTCCTGCCCGTCTGAAGTCACCAGAGATTTGGTATGTTTGAGTCAGAGAACTTAAGCTCCTGGTAGGGAGCATAGGCTGGGGGTAAGTAGATGGGTGACTGGGGCAGTAGGCTAAGGGTAGAGACAGCAGAGCATTTCTTTTTCAAAGCTAAGCCTAGAAAAAGGGTAACTTCTCTGGTCTAGGTGACCCAGGGCTCCCTAGAGTGGGAGAGTGTCACGTCCCTGAGGTTAATGCTGTGAGGTCCCTCTAGGTTCCAGCAAAGTCATGCAGGAGAGAAAGATCCAGCCTGTAGAAGCAAGGCAGGCAGTCTGGGAAGAGAAGCTGAGGCATTGGGCCCAACACAGACAAAGTGGGCGTCTCCTGGTCTTAGTGGTGAGATTGGACTTCCCCAACCCTTAGAACCCCTCCATTACATCCAGCATAGGGTCCCTGCCCCCAGAGAATCTCTCCACCCCTCCTTTCCCTTTCTCACTATTACCTTCCCCACCATACCCTTCCCCCTTTTCCACCTGCACCTCAGAAATGAGAGGAGGGGCTGGACTTGGTACAGTGGAAAGAAAGCCCAGTGGAAAGAGATGTGGGTTCAAAGCCTGGCTCCAACACAGCTGTGTGACACTGAGTAGGTCACTTCCCCTCCGAGAGCTTCAGCTCCCTCATCTATAAAACAGAGATAAAAATATTTGAACTACCTATTTCACAGGAATATTCTAAGTAAAGTGCTTGGCAAACCTCAACTACTATATAAATGTGAGCTGTTATTATGAAGAGCTTGAAGAAGACCACCCTATCTGTTCTACCTCTTCTCACCCTCCCAAATCAGGTGAGCCAGCTCTGGATGGCAGTGGCTTCTGTACCCTTTGCTGTTACCATTTCTTGCCTGGAATCAAACTGCCACATGAATATAGCACTGCCCCTCTGGCCAGGAGCTTCGGTGAGACCCAGGGTGTATGAGGTTCAGGGAGTCATCCCTCCCACCCACCAGGCATCAACCTAACAATAACCCTGCTTCACCTTCAGGGTCTGCTTACTGGGATCTTGACACTAGAACTTCGAAGAACACCCCGCCTCTGGAAGGTGAGTAGGGGTCCTGAACCCAGAATTCCCAGACACCACTGGGCTGATGACTAAGCTGATGAGATCCATGGAATCAGTGTTTCCACTTCTTGGTAGAGATGACTAAGAGGGATAAATGGGACAGATTGCTGGGGTGACGGCTTAAGGTTAAAGATGGGGAGAAATTGGTGGGACACACAGTCTGGGCCGAGTGGTCTGCTCTTTGTCTTGGACAGGATGAGATCAAACTCACTCTCTGGCAGGTGACAGCCATGATGATATTCAACTTATTTGGGATGATCCTGGGAGTTGTTGTTGTGGTGGTGCAGGGAATGAAGCTGGCCTTGGGTACAGTACAATCAACCTCCTACCAGGTACCATTAAAGGGGAAAGGGAATGAGGAAGAGTGATTAGAAGACAGGCTGGGAGAAGTAGGGGGCCGGGAGAGTCATTCAGTGAAAAGTCCCATCCCAGGTTCCATTTGCCTGCAGTGGGTTGGCTTGCTGGTCCTGGAATTAAGGGCAGAGGCCTTCACCCTAGGTGGAGCTCTGGCCTCTGCCTTTGCCCTCCTCCTGCTGAGCCAAAGAAAGCGAGGATGCTGTGGTGCTTGGAGACTACGCTACCAGGAGCTACAGGAGGTACTACAATGGGGGAAGATGATGTGGCAACTGAATGCTTTTCCTACTCAGTGACACTTCAAGGGAGAGGATAGGCTCCTTGACACAGCCTTGATGAAGGATAACAAAGCCTGGGGCAGAGAAAGTCTAGCCCCCCCCCAGTCCTAATTCATCACTTTTTGGCCATCTAGTTCCAGCTATGATGTATCTAACTTGGGAGAGGGTTGGAAACGGCCAAGATTTCTGAATCCATCCTTTTCCCCACAGTAGCTGCTTTATCCTGACCGTTCACAATTGTGTCTGCCTTTCAGGGCCTCTCAGAAATGGAAGAAATTCAAGATACTGAAAATATTCCCTCCGAGACTTTTGAAGCAAATGAATGAGCCAGGAAAAGGAAACAGAGGAATACTCCTAGAATGCTTTTTGAGGATGGACCCAATGGTTCCTGCATCACCCTGTGCAGACACTTATGCCCAGGAGAAAGAAGCAGGAATGTTTCCTCTAATCCACACAGCTGAGATACTTGCTCCCTGCATTCTCCTCCAGCAACCTCTATTGCCTGGGAGGTTGGAATCCAACCAGATATACAGGAATGCCAACTAGGGAGGTGATCACTTCTTCAATTTGGCTCAGCCACGGACATGGGATTTTCCCTTTCCCCTGCCCAAGCAGATTTGTGCTTGGGACTGAGTCCTTGTCCCTCAGGGGGATGCTAACTGCCCCAATTCATAATCCTGTGAAAGCTCCCCTACTGCATCCTGAATTCCCCTGACACCTGTTGCTATTCCATTTTGTTATCTATCCCTCCCCCAGCCATAGTGTGATTCACTCAGCTTTCAAAATCCATTCCTCTCCCTCCATCCATTCCCTTCTATCCTCATCCATTCTTCTACTAAATTCCTCCCATCCGGCTCCATTATCCCATCCATCACATTCCAATCCTCCACAATTTAACACCTTCCCCCATCTGCCGTAACTTGCCCAACCCTTTGCTAAGGAAGAAGGAGGCAAAGAACTACAAATCCCAGCAGGCGCCCTTACCGTTTTGCATGCTGGGAAACAAAGGTCCTTCTCAGAGCAGCTGGGGGCGATATGGATACCTTGAGTGACGCGCAGCGCTAGAGATCTGCCCATCGCGGTCCATCGACATGGTTCGCGCAGACTTCGCTCGGGTCCAGGCAACCAATAGGCCGGAAGAAGCTGGGCGAGGCGGGGGGAGGGGGGTAAGAGGTGTGGGACGAGGAGGAGCTGACGTGGATCCGACCTGCATCTGGGCAGAGAAGTGGCTGCATCCTAGAGGGGCGCTGCAGCGAGAGGCGGCTCGGCCGCCAAGGCGCGGGGAGCACGTCTGCCCGCGAAGCGGCGGGAGGAGGGGCGTTTTCGTCGCTGCCACGGAACTGGGGTTTCCCTGCGGATTCGCCCCTACCCCACCCGTCCCCTCTTCCACTTACAAGGCATACAGCCCCCTGAGATGCGCAAGGAAAAGGGGTTGAAGATGGCCCAAGCAGCGTACCTGGCTCAAAATGGGGCTGTCTTGGAGCGAGGAGAAGGAGATGGACGGGGCGAGGAGGAGGAGGAGGGGATGGACGGGGTGAGAAAAGGGGAGCGACCCCATAACCCCACATATCAGATAGTAATAACGCTTATGTAGAGCTTTCTTCACAACCTTGTGCTGCAGGTAGTGCAAATATTTTTAACCTTCATTTTTACAGATGAGGAAACTGAGAAAGGTTTCCTGCTAAGGTCCTTACGCACCCTTATCTAAAGCTTAACACCACCCCCATCCACTTCTCTTTCCAGCCTTTTCCCCTCCCCCCGTCCTCCTGCAGGAACGAAATTACGCCTGGCTCTGGTTGGCCGCCTTAATCGACCTTTGATCCAGACGTTCCAAGCGCCAGGCTTTTGAATCCCCTGTGCCTATCACAGTCAAAGTACACTCCATCTCCCGCCTCCCCGCATTCAGGAAGGCCGTCATCCCGTCCTCTGGAATGCACTCCCTCATCTCTGCTTTTCAGATTCGTTATCTTCTAGGTTCAGCTCAGATGCCACCCTCTTATCTTGCTTTCCCTGACACGCCGCGCTCCGCCCACCCCCCAGCTTTGAGTAGTTCTCTCCCTGATCGAATGCTCTTTAAACACTGATTTCTACTCCCTTCTACCCTCATCCCTACCTTGTCTTATATTTTTACCTCTGTACACTTATGTCCTAGAGAAGGAAATGGCAAACCACTACAATATCTTTGCCACGAAAACCCCAAATGGGGTCAAGAAGGGTCGGAGGCGATCGAAACTCCTGAACAAAAACATACATCTCCCCCTGCACTGCCCCACCCATAAAAGGTAAATCTGACAGGTACAGCTTAGGACCCTGAACCCAAAGGCCCTGGGAATAGTGACATTAAATAATAACATTAAAGAGGCATTACTATCTGCTTCACCTCTGCATCCTAAGGGTCAAATTTTCGATTTGACTTGCCGCTGGAACTTCCTGTATGTATTGTTTCCCATATTAGAATGTGAGCTCTTTGAGAACGGAGACTAATTTTTCTATTGGTACCCGCTGCATTTAACAGTGTTTTGCACATAATAAGGGCATAATGAGTGTCTTATTTGTTCGTTCATTCATTCATTCTTGAGATCAGTTATCATTTCTGTTTTTTGCATTTAGACCCAGGATCCAGTGTTCTGCCTTGCATGTGGTAGGCACTGAATGAATGTCGAATTTAGAACAGGATGTTATAAAGATCTAACAAGCTGACAGGCAAATAATCGGGGAGCAAAGATGAATTTTGAAAAATACAAAGTTCACAATGTGATTAAAATCTAAAGAAAACAGCACTTGAATAATAGTTCATATAATACTTTATTTTCATAATAAACGCATTACAAAAGTTATCTCATTTTTGTCCTTGCAAGTTTCAGCCAAGTCCAATCATCAACCCAGGTAACATTATGGGTAGTGTGGCAATCAGTACTGGAACTACTGGGGGAGAGTCATATCAGCTAGAAAGGAAACACTCCAAATTTACACAGTGCTCAGGCAATCACAGAGTTACCCTCACTCTGTCTCATTTATTATTGAAAGAGTCAGAACAGAATTCTCTGAGTACTGTCTCCTTACCAAGAAAATAGCTAAAGCCCAGCCATATGTCTTACCTGCCAGAGTTCCAGTGATACAAAGTTGAGACTCCCTTTTCATGGCACCTCCTTAGTAGCAGTGCTCTCCTGGCCAATATTGTAATCATCTTCATTTAGTTCCATTACACAGCAAACAATGGAGCACTTTCTATTTGCAAGGCACTTAGCTAGACTGCTGGGGCACAAAGACAAAAACAAAACCATTTCTGTCCCCAAGGAGCTTACATTCTGCTGAGTAGGACACACGCATGTACATATTCCTTTTACAGGAAGAATGATGAATAAGAAAAGCTGGGGAGGGGGGTGGGGAGCAGAGGGCAAGCCCTTAAGGCCAAGCTTGGATATAGAGAAAATAGTGTTTGTTTTCTGAGATCTCTGGCCCTGGAAATCTAGAGAGGTCCTGTCTGTGTGGGGCTATATCATCAGCACAAAAAAAAAAAAGAGAGAGAGAGCTGGAAAAGATAATTTCTTCGATGTTAAATGGTAGCCCAGAAAACCAAGAATGATAGTGCAGAAAATTCTCTTAAACTAGAGCTACAGCTCTTGATTAGATAAAAAATTAGTAAAGCTCAGGCTCAAGCCAGAAAAATATGCAATGACCATTACAATACTGGGATGAAGTGATTCCAAATGTACTTCAGGGAAAACAAAGAGTTAATCACTTGCTGTGAGCAGATGAGCAATTGGAGCTCATTCATTCATATAGTTATACTCCCATCTGCTTCTACTGTGGTTTAGTTGTGGTTTAGTCACACGAACCACTGAATTAAATTTTAGAAAGAAACTTTGCCCATACCTATTAAAAGAACACTGATCTGGGAGTCACTTAGACATAGGTCCTCTGTTGGACATTCAAAGCCCTTCACAGTCTGGCTGCAGCTCATCTTTCTTGGCTTATATTACACATTGCTCCTTTTCACAAATTACATTCCAGCTAGACCAGACTGCTTGCTGTTCCTCATATACAGCATTCAGCCTCCCATCTTATGCCTTTGTACAAATCCCTCATTCCTGGGGTAAACTCACTCTTTACCCTGCCTATTAGAATCTCAACCTACCTTCAAAGCTCAGTTTAACTATCACATCTCACGTGAAGCCTTTCCTCATCCCCACAGCTGTTTGTGCCCTTCCCCCCAGCCCCAGGGAAAAATTACTTTAGATTCATTCTGTGTAGTATATTATTTCCTTCAAAGCAGGAACTTATTTTTGACTTTTCATACCCATCACTGCACAAAGTGCTTGGCTCATAGAATATACTTAATGAACGCCTGTTGATTGTTTGCTTAACTGACAGAGGGACCAGTTCTAGTTAAGATTTCATCACTATCAGGTCACATGCTTGATCTTGGTTTCCTCATATGGCAAATGGTGTCAGTCAACAAGCATTTATTAAGAATAGACTTTGTATAGACACTGTGCTAAACACTTTACAATTATCTCATTTGATCCTCATAACTCTAGGAGGTAGGTGCTATTACTATGCACCATTTTACAGATGAGGAAACTGAGACAAACATTGTTAAGTGACTTGCCCAGGATCACACATCCAGTGAGTATCTGAGGCCAGATTTGAACCCAGGTTTTCTTAAGTGCAGGCCTAGCATTTTATCCTGTGCACCACTTAGCTGAAAGGCAAAAAATAAAATAAAATAAAATACATAAAAAAGTCTCTGCTCCTGAGGAGCTCACAGTCTAATGTAGGAGACAATCTGAAAACAACCATATACCAACAAGATATGCACAAGACAAATTGGAGATAGTGAACAGCAGGAAGAGCTATGGGGAAAGGCTTTTTGTAAAAGATGGGATTTTAACTGAGACTTGAACAAAGGCAGAGAGGTCAGGAGATACTGATGAGAAGGGAGAGTTCCAGGTATGGGGACAGCCACTGAAAATGCCTATAGTTAAGAGACTGAGTATCTTGTGGAAGGAACAACAAAGAGGTCATTGTTACTGAATGGTGGAAAACTTGGGGGAAGTAAGGCATAGGACTGCTAAGGGAAGATGGCTAGGTTAGGAAGGGCTTTGGATCACAGAGGATTTCATATTTTATCCTAGAGGTAATAGGGAACCACTGGAGTGGATTGAATAGCTGAGTAACATGGTCAGAACTAGGGCAGCTAGGTGTCAAAGTAGATAGACTCCCTGGGCTTAGAGTTTGGAAGAACTGAGTTCAAATGTGGCCTCAGACACTCACTAGCTGTATGACCCCCTGGGCAAGTCACTTAACCCTGTTTGCCTCAGTTTCCTCATCTGTAAAATGAGCTAGAGAAAGAAATGGCAAACAACTCCAGTATTTTTGTCAAGAAAATTCCAAATGGGGTCAGACATGACTGAACAATAACGAAATGGTCAGAATTGCAACTTTAGGGAGATCACTTAGACAGTGGAGTGAAAGATGGATTAGAGTGAAGAGAGACTTAAGGTGGGTAGAACAACCAGAAGGTTATTGTAACAGTCCAGGCATAGGGTAATGAGAGCATGTACCAGGGCAGTGGCAGTATCAGAGAAGAGAAGGGGGCATAAACAAGAGACGTTGGAAAGGTAGGACCAACAGGACTTACCAAAGCATTGGATTTGGGGTGGGGGTGACAAGAAAGAAAGGCAGGAATCAAGAATGACATCTAGGCTGTGATGCTGGGTAATTGGGAGGATGGTGGTACCCTCAATAATAATAGGAAAGTTGAAAAGAAGGAAGGACTTTGGGGAAAAGATACTCGATTTGGTTTTAGACATGCTGAGTTATGGTGCTAATCATACTTTCTCTTTCAACCACAGTGGGGTTCTGTGAAGATGAAATGAGAAAATATATGTGAAAGGACTTCAAAAATTTAAGTGCTATACAATTGCACTGTGGGCACTGGAAACTACAAGGAATATGAAAAACTGGGTACTTTTGCCTTGATAGCTTCATGCTAGCTGCAGGACTTTGTAAGTTCATTTCAGCCTCTCTGCTACCTTCTGAACAGTTCACTTGCATCCATTTCTTTGCTCCCATATACCACATTGCTCCCTTTCTTCCCTAGAAAACCCTGGCCTTTAAAAAACTCCTTGGTGTCTTCTTTTTCATAGTCCTCTACTATCTTATGTTCCTTCCCATCATCCATTGCAACAACCTTCTTAATACAGTAGGCTCTGTGGAGATCACTGATATTTGTTCTATTTGCTGACCAACTGGGATCTCACCGGAAGGAATGACTATGAATGAAAGCCCCAGTGATGTCAGATATTTATCTTCACTAACTTCTTTCTCTTGCTCCAACCACTGGGAAGATTTCCAAGAAATGACATATGATCAAGAGCTTATACAAGTCCAGATTTGATCTGAATTCAGTCACAGTGTGCTGTAATAGAAAGAACTCTAGAATCAGGAGACTGAGGATCTAGTCCCACTGTCAATAACTACCTGTGCAAATCTGGACAAGCCACTTAAATCCTCTGGGCCTTAGTTTTCTCACTTGTAAAATAAGAGGCTGGACTAGAGAACTTTTAAGTTCCCCTAAAGGTCCTACATTTTTAGGAATTATCCCACTGATTAATATTATTCATTTACTATGAGTTCATTGACCTTTCCTGATTGTAATGAACACTTCTGAACTATGGAAAATTAGCTCTCAAAGCTTGCTTCATAGACTAAAGGCGGTCCTATTGCCTTCTGGGGAAGGATTTTACTAGAAACAGCTTACTCACTTCAGAAAAGTGTGGTTCACAATTTCATTGCCTCCGGTCTCCAGGCTGTGTCCTTTGCTGCCATCTTGTGGCCCCTGGGCTGTCCAGACCCAGGTGTATCCAGGGGGTCTTCAGTCCAGGTATAGGTCCAAGTATAGCTCACTGTTTTACCTTCTTCTATCCATCAATAGGAAGTGCTATTTCCCACACTGTGAGACAGTCTGGCAATATGTTTGTGACATGGTTATAATGTGGCCAGAAGCCTGATACCCAAGTGGAATTGTTGCGGGCTGAGAGGTTGAGAGGTTGTAACCCCTCAAAGACTGAAGTACATGGGTCATCTGGAATGAATTCACAGACACAAGCATTCTTTAAGCCAAGGTGGCAAAGTTTATTGTTACGCTTTTCAACAGGCAAGGATTCTTAAAGGATCCTGCAACCTTAGAGAGGTACAGTTAAAGTTTATATAGGATAAAATACAATAAAACATGTGCCAAATATGCTAAGTAGGGGATTCAGGGTGGGATTAGGGAGTGGTTAAGGAGTGGTCGGTCCTTAAAAGAACATGCACTTCTTGTACCTACTGCACAGGCATTTTACCCAGAGTTCATTAGGAAAAGCCCACAAGGGGGGGCCACATGGAGGTGTGGTTTTAGGCCTGCTGCGTCACTAAGTCAACTAGAGTTCAGGGTAACTGAGAGTTGTCCAGTCTGCCACCAATCAATGTCTTGTTAGACAAGATAGATGTGGGGAGTATGCATATGTCTTAAGTCTAGAATACAGTTAATGAGGAGGCCAGGATGTAGATAATAAGGTAGGGCGGTAGGATAGTATAGTAGTGGGTAAGAATGTCTTTATGACCCAGTGCAAAACCAGTTTAAACTAATAAATCCTTCAGGTGCTGTTTGGAACTGCACCAGGGAGAGAGACAAGGGTCTTGCTGGAAACCACTCATGAGTAATTACTAAGCACAGAGTCCTTGGGCTGGGGAGAAACTGTCAGGGGCAGTGTTTCTGAGGCTAGGGAGAAATTGGGGTCCAAGTACAAGCACCCAA